AAGTCAAATGTCCTTAAAGTAACAAAGACTAAGTTAAAATATGTTGCCTTTCTCTGAAGGAATTGGCTCTGAATTAATTGGAGCTGCTCACTGGTCAGAACAAAAGGTCATGTAGGTGAGCAAACCCAGGTGGAGTTTCCCCATTAGCACAGTCTGCCACCCTAAGAGTCAATTCCAAATCTGCTGAGCTGTTGGAAAAAAATTAGGACAAAATACTTCAAATGTATATACCCATCTGTATAGGTATGCACACACATCCCAGCAGGCTTTAAAGAACTAACGAAAATTTATTAACACTCATCTGAAAAAAATAAAATCACATCAGTCAAACCTGATGTGTGCAGGAAGACTGGCCACATGTTTATAGGATATAAAATCCAGAAACAAAGAACTTCCAGAACTTTTGGAAGGAAATATCAAAAGCCAGGTGATGCAGCAGGCTTAGAGAACTCTCTGTTCCTCTGACTCTGGACTGGTAACTGGAGCTGAAATTTTGCAAGGGGGGGTCACAGCAGTCAGTCAGGCTGTTGTTTATAATATAATAAGGTGTTTATTCTGGTAGGTTTAAGCTTTTAATGAAGATAGCTATCAGGTAATTTAGGCTCCAATTGGACTTGTTTGACTTGTTCCTGTGAGAAATCATTTTTCCTTGTGTGCTTGTATCTCATTAATACTTCTTGTTCCTAATACTAAATGAGATCATTTAACTGAAGAGCTGTGCTAAATGCACTTTCACCTGCATCTATTTAGTAATCCTTTGTTTCTGCACTGTAGTTACAGATCCCAATTCCTCTTGTGAAGCTTAAACTAACTCAGTGCTGTTTTCAGCCATGTTCCTTTGAACATGAGTCAGGAGATGAGCACAACTGCACCAAGAGCCAGTCTGGCCTCAGGTGTAGATGCTTCTCCCCTTTATCACACCAGTGTGTTTCTGTCTTCAGAAAAACATTAATGGGATATATAAATTAGTGTCAGAAGAGTAATTCTACATCAACAGTTGTAGAGGGACCAGGAAGTCCTTTGAGTACAGCTGGAACTTGGGAAGTCTCCCACCTTGTCCTGTGAACCACAGCCCATTAGCAAAGGCCCAACTGAAATCCTGTGCAGAAGGAGCTGGGAAACTGCAGAGTTCACCTCTAACCACAGGTGATCCTAATCTGCTTTTTGTTCTTCTGAAGAAATTTCCTGGTCACAGGGTAGGACTGAACAATGAACACTTGCACTAACAGAACCTGTTCTAGGAGTGCAAGATCATTACCTGCCACATTTGGAACTGAACAGAGGATTTTGCTCTGCCTTTGCTGTATTATTAAGAATACTGGCTATTAAAGCCTTTCAGGTATAATTTATAGCTTATCCTTTAAAAAAAAGGACAATTCTAATGACAGATGTCATTAACTGGCCGCCACATTTGGAAGCTGGGAGCTAAAGAGGTTTCATGTGTTCTGTATTTCCTAAGTGACACAGTGAGTCAATGCAAAAGTTCATGTCCTCATGGCAGATATTCCAAAAACTCTACAGCCCATTGCTTCACAACAACACCAACACTCCTCACCTAATCTACACACCAGTTGATAGTCCTCACACACCAGTACTGGAAATAAAAGTCAATTAAACCTAGGACTGAAAAAAAAATCATAAAAGAAAATAAAAAATAATATTAATAAGAATCAGTAAGAAGCAATACAATTTCATACCTGTATTTTATTGTTTAAGGATTTCAGGATTCTATCCAAACCATAATGTGTTTAAATTTCACATCATTCTGAATTAGAAAAATATTATCCTGTTGAATAAATTCAGAAAGAATAACAGATTTACCCAAGGAGATTTTTCAGCTATCAGCAGAGAATTTATGCATAGAATTTAAAAGCCCTGATTATCAATTCTTCCATCTAATCAGCAGCCCACTGACAAAAATCCTTGACAGATAAACTGAAACCACTTCATATTCAAAACAAAACCCAGAATATTTAAATACATAAACAAACAGACCATCTTAAAGGTAAAGAAATTACAACTACTCAAATTTCAAAACATTTTGACCAATTCTAACCTGTCTTTTTATCCTTTGGATCAGTTAACAGCAACAGTTTGCAAGTAGGATTATTTCGGTAGAGAGGGACAAAAGACACACAGGAATCTTCAAGTTTAACCTAAAAAACAAACAAGCCCTGTAGCTCTTTGTACTGCAAAGCTCACAACAAGTACTTCACGTATCAGATGCACTTATGACATGTTTTGCTGACATGCATGGTACAAGCTTAGCACAACACCCTCTCAATCCTCAACTTCAAGGCACTGAAATACATATAATATTCTAATATTATCCATAAGGAAAGTTAATTTTTAAAAAATCAAGCTACTGAAGTTAGTGAAGACCTTAATGCTGACTTGCCCTGGTTAGTACATAACCTGGCTTTGAGCACTGTCACACGCAGACAAATGGTGTTATGAAAGACCAGACACATCAAATGAAAACAAATACAACTTGCACTTCTTACAGCATCCTCCAGCTGAGTATTTGTGGTGTTTTGCAAACAATGAATTAAGCCTCAGGGTACAGGGAGTATCAAAGCATTAGGGCAGTGCCTGGGCAGTTTATCTTCCAGGCACAGCGAGGGTAGATAATTGGCACAAGGTGGTTAAGCTGAAGGCAAAGCTAAAATCAAAATGCAGCTCTCAAGCTTCTGCTCTTAGACTAAACTTTTAAACGATGTGACACAAACACAAAATTACTGTGCTCAAACAGCTCTATATGCATAGAAATGACGATTTCCATATGAATATTGCAAATGCTGTCATGTAAGTTTAGGTACAGGCGAAGAGCGTGCATGACTTAGCACAGTATGTACTGTACTTTCCAAAATCTGGTCCATTGTGTATGTGTGGGTGTGCCTCTCTCTCTAATTGCACCCATTTGTCAGTTTGCTATGAAACTCAAATCAGTCACGTGTTACATTTAATATTTCTTGGTACATGGAAGAAATATGAATATGGATTATTCTGGATAACAACTCTAAGCTGAAACCAGTGTTCAGTAGTTGATGAGTGCCAGAATCCTGGAAGCATCTATGCAAACACTGGACTCCAGGAAAAAAAAAAAAAACAACTTGAAAACTGCTTGAAATCTGTATTCATGAGCTTGCCTAAATCTGGGGATTCAGTTGTTCTTTGCATGCTTCAAACATAACAGCATCAATGTCATTACAGCACCTGGGAGCATTTCCATAATGAAGAGGCCAGGACTACTTCCAATACTGCCATGATTGTTATTTTGTTTGATAAGCTAATGTGCACTTTCACAGGTGTTAACAAGAGCAGCATGAGCCAAGCACAGCTTTGTGTGTGGCTGCTGCCAGCCTGTGGGGCTCTCATCCTGACTTGCAGTAATCCTTGCTATTTGTGGCCTGAATGCTTGACCAAGCCATACCAAAAAGAAGTTCTGTGACCCCAGCAAAGAGGCTGACAGCCACTTAACTCCTGCTAAATAATTATTCACTGTTGCCAGCCCTGCCACTTCAAACCTGCTTTAATTCAGAAGGGGAAAAAATGTTTGGTAATGCAGCCATTATTCAAACACCAAACCCCTCATCTCTCAGGTTCTGGGTCTATAATAGAGACTGTTAGCTGGGATGTTCACTGGGAATGGGAGTTTTGCCTTATTACATTTGAATTATTTTAAATTACAAAACATCAACATTCTTTGAGCTATTTATTATAGACTCTAAGGAAAGAGACAATACAGCAAGAACACTACCATTACTTATGCCCTTGACTGGCTGACTGCAGATTTGATTAGACCTGAATTAAATGAATGCAAAGAGAAATGTGTTGCTATGAGACTCAAATCAGTCATGTGATATATTTAAGGGCTGGTGACAAGCCACAAAATCAAGACAGTTGAGAATCAAAAGCCAGAAGTCCACCTTTAACTGATCTCAGTGTGTGGCTTTTGCAGGAATACACAGAGCACTGCCTGGGATTTTAACCTCCTCCTCCTACTGGAACAGCAAATGAACCTCTGCAAGTACAAGCAGGCATGGAAGGTAAGGACACAGAAGCCCTAAACTGGGGGATCTTTGCATGTTCACTCTGTATTTAGCCCCACAGGCTCCACTAGAGGGCATTAAAAGAGTATTTCAACCCCGTTACACTCCCAGCTCAAAGCCGAAGCTGATCCCACCTGGAACAGCATTTTTCTGGAAACTACTGCATATTATTTTCTTAAATTGCAGAAAAGCTACTGTATTCCAAACATTCATTTTAACTAATCCAATTTCTGCTTTGATAGCACAATAACAGGTACCTCAGCACACCATTTATGATGAACAAAATGCCAGATGTAAAGGTTTCATAGGTTGACTGCAGTAAAAATGTTTAATAGGCCTGTTCAGTCATCTCTATTCCACCCAGGTGTCTTAGGAACAGAATTCCTTTGGGAAAATCCACACTCAAAATTACCAATATAAGTACTGGAAAGAATGGAAACAAAAGAGAGGCTGTATCACAATGCCTGTGTAAACTGCACAGCAGAGGCAGAATACAGAGCAGCACCATGGTGTAAATCTCTATAAAATTCGCTTTTGATTCAGTCCTGTCAGGAGGCAGGTCAAGATGCAAAGTCCACCAAAGAACTTCAAACCCTTTTCCACACTCAGAATTGGAGTTTAAGCTTATCTCTCATTTACAGCATGCAAATTATTTGAATAATGCAGGATTTACTGATTTTTTTCTGCAATCCAGCCATACCAGTTTACCCCTATTAGCATACATGAGCACAACCAACAAACTAATCTGCAAGTATCTAACTTGCAGCATGAGAAACATCAGCCTCCTACCTCTCCTCTTCCAGGGATGGAAAAAACATCAGGAGTGGACAGTGACTTCTTCAAGAGTTTTTCATAGTATGTTTCAGCATCTGCTTGCAGAACCTCTGGATCTCCTGTTATTGTATCAACCAAGTAAAGTCGACCTGTGATTAAAATAAAACACAAGATATTTTTACTTTTTATACTAAATAAAAAACTTAAGTCTTAAAACCTCCATTTCCCCAGCAGCTGCTTGGTGTGGCTGGGCCCTTAATGATCTCATTAGAGCCTTTTGTATAAGCCTAGTCTAAAATAGTAAGGCTGGTAAAAACCTGCCTGTATGTTATTTTCTGTATGTTATTCACCTCTTGACATGCAACTTTACAAAGCAGAACCATGACAGCATCAATTCACATTTGTCTCCTTTGAATTCAACAAGCACAGTCTCAAATTTCTCTAGGTGTAAGAAAATTGCTTTAAAGCTGGAAGAACATTAAAAAAAAAATTTTTCAAAACACAGCCTGAGTTTAGCACTGTCCAAAAATATAACAGGGAAAGAATTCCAAAGCTTCCATGCTTTCTTGGAAGACTGCCCCTTTTTGGGTCAGTCTAGGATCTGTTGTTTACTTTTGTAAACAATTTTACTGTTTTGGGTTTTTTTTACTTTTACTGTTTACTGTCATTAACTTTTTCCTTCTCTTTTTTGACTAACATCAGTTGGGCACTTTCACAACAATGAAATAATGTAAAAAATTTACCTACACAAGTCTTTCCAAAATAGAAACATCATCTTTTATGCAACATAACTCTGAATCCATGTGACTCAGTGCTGGAGGGTATTTGTTAATTGCATGCAAACAAAAATTATATATATCTGATGCCTGTAACCTAAATGCAAAGTCCAGCTTGGTGTTCCTGAAGGAGCAATAACCTCCTTCTGATATAACAGACCAGACTTTCTGGTGGCTCATCACCAAGAAAAAGAACATGACAGGAAATGTGTAAGTAAACCAAATGGTGTCCAGCCACTGTTCTATCACAGGAATAAAATAGCTTCAATTAAAGAGGCTTTCAATCAACAACCTACACCTGCAACCCTTGTAAGCCCAAGTGAGGTCCAAATCTTCTACCCAGAGCTGTTGTTGGTATCTTAGCCCTGAATCCTCCTTTTTAATGATGGTTTGGTCTCACATGGCACCTCCCTTGGTAAATTAAATGTGAAATAACTGCACTGACAGTAAATGGCTGAGACAAGAAGTCTTAAAAGGACCAATGCAAGACCTGTCTATGCTAAGATTAACAAACCATGAATCACATAGGTACCATATTGAAAGTGATACCTTTCCACATAAAAGCAGGAGTATGGGATTTGTAGTACCAGCTCAGACTACTCACCCACGGTGCCTCCACTCTCCCTCCAGCAGCGACCAGCATCTGATTCCTCAGCAAAAGGATAAGAAATTTAAAATGCTTAAAATGCTTGAAACACTATTTTTCTGCCCTTTGCAGGCAACCAGCTTCCATCCTGAGGCTTGGCAGCAGAGCTGTGTACTCAGAATGCTGAAGAGAAGCTGCTCTGTAGATGGGTTTCTAGCATGTTTGTATGTGACAAAATGGGAGAGAAAAAGAGCATTGCAGCACTGGCAAGTCATATTATAAAATCCCAGGCAGAACTTAAACACCATTGAGCAAAGAACTTATGTCAGGAGAGAAATTAAAGATTATTATTCAAAACTTTGGTAATTCACAAAAGCAAATTTGCTAGTAAATTAATCCTTTACAAAAGAGCAGCATGTAAGACTTGAGTTTAGCACAAAGAAAAATATTTGCCATGCTAATAAATACTGTTCATGAGGTGCTGCTTACAAGGGTCCCTCCTGGCACGGTGCAGCCAATGCAACTTAACAGCACAGTCATGTTCTCTCCTCACTGAGCAAAGCAATTAAATTTCTGCTACACAATATGCTTGTACTCTAAGGTAACAAGGACCACTCCAAGGACAAAATAAGGTCACAGATTAAATAATGAGGCATTAGAAGAAAACTTCTGATCAACTTTCCATCAATACAGCTTTGCACAGAAGTAATCTTTTCCTTTAAAAAATGCTTTTAGATTTCCAGTGAACTTGGCTTTCCTGTGCAATACACTGAAAAGGCCCAAGTGAGTTAGGACCACGTGTTCCTATACAAACAGAACCAAAAAATTTCTTGTGAAGAAGAAAACTGTCAGCAGGGGAGAAAGACTGAGGCTGTTTAGGAACAATATGGAACAGAAGTGTCACCTGAATTTCTTTTTATGTTAACTAATGTGTTTCCCAGTTTTTCCCAGTATAAAGTGACAAAATAACATTTACCCTGCTGTGTATGTCCCTTTTACACTTCTTTTGTACACAGGCACAAGAAAAAACCCTCAAAGTCTGTCCATAACTATTGTTACTAGGCATTCAACTAAAGCCATAATTATTGCTGGCTAACAGGGTGCTATAAAGGTTGCTAAAACAAATGCAAAATAACTTTGCTTTAGAATAAAAGTAGTGCTGTTCCCTCAGGAGTACTTCAGTCTGAGGCCCAATCAGCATCTCGGGATACCAAAATTACAACGTTCCAAGGACAGCCTGTTGACCTAATTGGAATTTCAGTATTTTATTTGAATTTGGGCTTACCTAGCAGCAACAAAGGAGCACATGGAGGCAGCCAGCCTGCCAGGACCCTGCCAGCAGCTCCTGCGAGGGGCTCTGTGACAAAGGGGGACCCGAGGGGCTCCTGCTGCAGCCACAGAGGAGAGACCACAAAGGAAATTTAGAAGGAGAGGCCTCCTGCACCAGAGAGATTCCTGACATTGGGGCTGACACCTTAAACAGCCAGAGCTGCTCAACAAGGTCAAGGCATCCTCGAGGTGGACGGTGCAGCAGCAATGACAGGGAGGGGGTGACAGACAGGTACCAGCCTTTGTCTGCATGGCACCTGCTTTCAGGGCAAAGGACATGGAAGCTTTGCAATTGCACAGGGAAAAATTATCTAGAGGCAAATAAATGAGAAACCCAACGAGCACATTTCCATTTCAGGCGTGCAGAAGAGATTTTAAAGCAAAAACTAGCAGCGCATCTGCTTCTCTCTTTTGTTTCCATGGAGCAGTCTGGGCCACATTCTCAAGCGAGGATGTGCAAGTACATCTCCTCTCACTCTGGTGATCTGTCATCAATTTGCACTAAGAATCTGATTTTTTGAAGTGAAAAGCTACAGCTAAAACCAGCTATAAATATCAGCAGGCACTGCCCATACAACTCAGTCATCTTTAGGAGATTCTACCCTCTAAAACCTCAGCCTAAAACGTTGTCCAACTCTGCCAAAAAGAAATAGACCAAGGCCCCTGCTTCAGTCTAGACCCCTAAACTCAGCTTTTTCTACTCCCACTGCTATTCTACCCCTTGTCTCCTCCAGAAGAGAGAACCTAATTTCATGGCGTTTCACCAAGTGGGCAAATATCCTCCTTGAAAGGTAAAAGTCAGAAAAATTTTACTTCACTTCGTACCCAAAAAGATCAATGTGTGGGAATCCAGATATATCTCACCAGCACACACATGTTCTGCATCAGGTGCATAAATGGAATCACAAAATGGGAGACAATATTCTACCCTAACGTAGAATTAATTTTTATGGATTAGAGACAGACCCCCATCACTACAGATTCAGGAAGATTTAGTTCTACCAGTTAAAGTAAGCAGGAAATATTTTTCCACGGGCAAAAGAATTTATTCTCAACACAACAGAAAACACATGGTGCATGCAGTCATATGTGAAATTCCAGAAGTGAAACTGCAGACTGTTGTAATGTCCAAAGGTAAAGGACATCCTTCCATCTAATCACATACTCTGAAGTATCTGATTTATTCCTGACCATGAAGCCAATACACAATTTACTAAACAAGAGATATTTCCTAGAACCAGGGAATGGTTTGGGAAAGTGACTGTAAAGATCATCTCATTCCAACCCCCTGCCATGGGCAGGGACACCTTCCCCTAAGCCCTGTCCATGGCCTTGGACACTTCCAGGGATTGGGGGTATTTGCTTGAATTGTTAAGAATCTTCTATTCCTGCATTCACTTGTAGGTAATTAATACTGTTCCCTCAAGCCAACAATTTGGTGATGCAGTTTTTTCCCAGACCAGACACACCACTGGCCTGATTAAGATGCACTGAGGTACTGCTGGTCCTTCCAGCAAAGTCAGACTTGTTGAAATGCCCATTTCAGAGTAAGGGCATTTAGGATGCAGCCAGATTGTAAAGCAAAATACATCAACCTCACCGTAGATGAAGCATGAAAAGTGTTATGTCTGAAGTGAATTAATCATTTATCCTACAACTACTTTTTCATGTTCTACAAACACAGAGAAGGATACTACATGCATCCATTAAGAGCTCTATGTTTACAGAAGAGCCATCAGTCACCACAGGACTTGTATCTGGATTTTGTACATTTGGGCAAATTTGTGAATAATTTTACATGTAAAAATATGAAAAATACCTCAGTCAGATTTCTAGTGGTGTACGAACAAGAGAGATAAAAAGAACTTAACATTTCTAATTTTCAAGTTTCATTATTTTTTAATTCAGTTTTGCCATTTCTAATGCTTGCAATTGCAGCACTGGCTTTGTTTATTGGCTTTATTTTCATGCCAATACATTTCACAATAACAAAAGAGGGGAAAAAAAGAAAGAAAAACCCAAAAAACCAAATTCAGCAGGTTTTAAAGTGTTTCTAATGATGTTCTGAGGGGTTCTGTCCAAGAAATATTTTCCTTTTTTTTCATTTCAAAAACCAATTTGCAATATGAGACAAACATGCAGCAAAACAAAATGACAATATATCAGGTCGATATTTAGGAGGGAGTGTTGTAATTAAACCATGCAACTGAGACTAGAAGTCCTAAGATTTATTCTTAACACAGGTGTGTTTTTGTGGCTCCTAACAAATCACTGCATCTTCTGACTGGTTCCTTATCAGTTAAGTGTGTCTTATCTACCACTTCAAAGGGTGTGATGTTTTCCTTATCAGTGCCTCTGAAGCCACGATGTGAAAAGATCAAGAAGTCACATAACATAAATTGTTCTCAGTTCTCCATGGGCTGCCACTGCCATGCTACAGAAGCACGCCCAGGACAGTGTCCAGGATTGAATAACTACTTTTTTTTGCCCTTCTGAACCATACACACGTGACTGAAGTGCTGTCTCTCACCCTCTCATAGGAGCAGGAGCTCTGTGATGAACAGCAGGGGCTTCACATCAACTCTTCTCCTTCCCTGCCCATGAGCCTGAACAGCTCCAGGCATGTGGTTATCGTTAGACAACCATATTTGTTTAACCTTTCAAAGGAAGGAAGAGGTCTCTGGCACGCTCCCGGGAGTACACGCAGAACCTGACTCCCACATCCTGAATTTAACTGAGCAAATACATGCCAAAAACCCAAATTCTGGTGGAAGTGAAACTGCAGGATCAGAACAGCGTGTGGTGGCAGCTGAGCCAGCGGGTGAAAGCTGTGCTGTGGTATCTGTCCAGCACAGCAAGGCAGCTCTGCACCACGTGCTGCACATCATCCATGAAAACAGTGTCCTTCTCTGCTTTCCCCCTTTTCCAACAACACAAGAACTCCTGGAATATTCAGGATGTAGGATTCAGGGTTGTAGGTTTCAATCCCAAACTTCCATTCATGTATCACTTACTATCTATCACAACTCAAATGGCCGGAAGGGCTTCAGGACACAAACTAATAAAAGTCTGTCTGTAAACAATCTTCAACTGTGGAATTAATAACTTAAGGCAGAGGGGAAAAAATAATCCCAATCCCACTCTCAATCAAGAAACCTGTTTGATTAAATAGATGAATTCAGCTATATATGTCATTACTACAAATTTTGTCACTCAAATGGAGGGCAGACCAAATCCCAGGCATTGCAAACACAGGCTGCTATCCCACCGGCCATGCCATTCCCACAAACACATTTTCACTACTGATTTCAGAAAAGAGAAGAAAAAAGCTTTAGGTATATACATAGTTTTAGCTGAACATAGATGAGACAAAGGAAAACACCTTCAATTTTCACACTCTTCCATAAACTCTGAAGGCCTTCCAAACCTTCTATTACCAGGTCTATAAAACACATGCTTTTCATTTCCCAAAAACTTAAGGTAATCCACAATTTCTGAAACGGAAAAAAAATTAGACGAGGAAATTAAATAATTGATTTAATTACTTATCTTTTTAAATAAAAATACTTAGCTAAAATCACATTAATTAAAATGTTTTGAAGGCTAGAAAAGCAAGTGCATATTGAGGGGAATCATGTAATGGTGACTGCATACTGAAGGGATATTTCCTCCACTCTAACCTGCACTAGTCCCATAATGAAAGTTCCAGCAAATAGGTTCCAACTCTGTTTCTTCTCAGATGGCTCTTTAGCAGTGTTACACTCACAAATGTAAATCCCCATCCAACTCATAGTACAAATAAACTAAAATACATCTGTGTAAACAGGCTACCCCTGTCCTATTACACACACAGTGCACATCTGGACTGGCATGTTTAGCACAAAAGTTTTAACCCAATGTAATTGAAAAAAGCTGAGGTATTACAGCCCAGAAACAGACTTCACAAATAAAAACTGCAGCATACTGTTAAACCATGGAAGTGCTACCAGCTATAGCTATGACATATCAGAATTCATACTTCTGCACATTTAACTTTGTTTTTCACACAGCTTAGATGTAAAAAAGAAAGAGGCAGCTTACAGAATAATTCAGGGGAAAATGCAGTGCTGGAGAAAAAGGAGATTCAGGACTGCCATTAATTCAGGCTGAACATGAAGTTCATGTTCACATCACGTTTCCCAAAGAAAATTCTAATGATTCAGGGTGATTGCTGCTAATACCTCTGAATTTGTGAACATCAGCATCGAGTTCTTAATAAACACTGGTTTTCACACAATCAAGAAATGGGCAAATGAGCTCCTGGAAAAGTCTCACTTTGCCTACTGAAGGCAGAGGTATGGATTTTGGAATTATAAAATGATTCAGGTGGAAAGGGACCTTAAAGATCATCAATTCCCTGCCATGGGAACCTTCCACTATCCCAGGTTGCTCCAAGCCTGGTCTAAATTGGCCTTGGAGGCTTCCAGGGATGGGGCAGCCAAAGCTTCTCTGGTGTCAAACTTGTCTTTTCTTGCATATGGAAGCAAATACTCAAATGGCAAGAATTTGTCAACTTAATTATTTGCTTATCCCCTAAACAAAGTAAAATACACAAGCTCTCCAGAACAACTGGAAAGAGGCTGATTTGAAGGAGAATGGCAGGAAAGGCTCTGTGAACAGCAGCAGATCTTTTATGAAGCACAAGTGCAAATGCAGATAGTGGCAATTCAATCCTCTACAAAGATGGAAGGCAGAAAGGAGGATGCATCACTCCAAAGTCCTCCTGTAACTTGAGGGAAAGGAGGAAAACAATGACTCCCATTGTGATGAGCACAGAATGGTGAAATGGCAGGAAATGACAACTGAGTTTGACAAATGGTCCAGCAGGGAGATGAATTCATCCCACAGGGAGAAGCCAGGCAGACTGACAGGACACTTTCAGAAAATGGCTGTGTTTGAATAATTAAAAGTTATTACTGGAACACACACAGTTGCAACCTGGCACCAGGGCTAGGATTTAAGTACCACATCAAATACATTTCCCCTTTACTACCATCATCCAAAGGAAGTGTGAGAAACCTAAAGCCATGCCACACACAGCCCTTAACATCACCTCATACAAACCACAGCAGAATGTGGCACACCAGGAGTACCTGAAAGCCCTGCTTTGCAATCAGAAAGGACAATATTCCCCAAGCAAAAAGTAGTGATGAAAATATGAGACAACTGTCTGGATTTTCAGAGATACCAGCTTCAAATACCACATAATATGAGCTGCAAATGCTTTACATCTGACAGGCCTACTGCTCCCACCAGCAGAGAGCATAAGTCTGCCTGAGAAAGCCTAGCAGCCTTTCTCCAAATTACTTGCAAGGACCAATTTGCACAGCCAGAATAATTTCAAAATAAAACAATTAATTTGGGTTGGGGGGAGAGAAGGAAAGAAACAAAATCCAAAATCCCTTCCCCCAGTAATTTCCACTTTGCTAAATTTATTACATGGCTGCAAATTAATACATCACCTGCACCAGCTATCACAAGGCTGTCTCAGAACTTGCTTTAATAAACAGCTGCCAGTAGTGGAGGAAATATGTAAACATCGCTCTTGTTTCTCTGTGCCATTGTGTCAGCTATTCTACACGTCTTTGAAGGTGCTCCAAAATCAGCATGGCTCTGCTTTTCCCTTTTTCTCCTTTTGGGAGGAGGAAAAAGCAGAGAAGGAAAGACAGGCTGGCAACAGAGGGGTAACTCTGTGCTTGCTGTGCTCTTGATAGTGAGGCTCAGTGTGTTCAAATTCAGTTTACACAGGCTCTTCTGTAAGGACAAAAGAAACCACTGCTGGTGGTTAAAAATGCAAAAGGTTTTGATTGCAATTGCTTGACAATCAGCCAAAGATATGACTAGGGGGAAAAACACAGCAAGGCAGCTATGACCAGAATGGAAGAAACAAGGAAAAACACATGGCTCGACTTCAGAGCAGAAAATTGACTTAGGCTTTGCATAAACGACAGCATACCTCCAAGCCTGCCTTATCCACAGTCTGCCTGCAATGGGAACATGCAGGCTAAAAGCAGAGCCTATTAAAAGGCATAATGTTTCTAAACGGCATCTGTTACGTCCTAATAAGCATTACTTAAAGGACACAGGCCTTAAAATTGCTACCAAACGTGCATTTATCTGAAACTGCTGCAAGGCAATCGTTACCACAGTGTCACATGACACCACTGGAATCTGAATAATAGAAAATGTTTTTATTTCATTTGGCTTGAAATCATTATGCAGGAAAAATATGGAGGCACTTTCTGAGATTTTGAAACTGTGCAACTTCACAGGAATGAAACACCAGCAAGAATTACATCAGCGGAGCCATTTGCCATCTGTTGTCAGTAATACTATAAAGCCCAGCCACCAGACAGCAGTTTCAAAGGTTACAAACACAACGTTCTCAAGCATCCACAGACCTCTGGGTAAGTGAGCAGGACACAGTTTCCTTCAGAGATATGTGCAACCTGAGGGTCTGCCAATCATTCAGCAAAGACAACACGCCCGAGCTGGGAATTGCCAGGCGAGGCGTTTGGAAGTCTCTCAGTACGCAACCTTTACACAATGTGGCAAACGCATACCAGCCCCATCACGTAGGATCCCACAACGCGCTCGCAGCCATAATGCCTGCACACCTCCCACTTGCAAACTGAAACCGGCCAGACTTTCTCCTCTGCTGTTTGTTTTCCCAAACTTCCCCTCAAGGGAAGGAGTGTGTGCACTGAAATGCTGCTATGGAAAGGGACTCTGGTTTGTTTGCTGGGCTTGGGCTGTAATTTTCCTTTGAGGGAAGTATTTTGGATTTTGTTTCCTGATTTCTTTTCTTTCTAGACCTTAACTACATATTTATGTTAAAGGCAGCAAGGTTTCAACAACTTGCCTTAGCTGTGGCAATGTTATGGCAGCCCTTACCTCTTATGTACACACAGTCTGAGTAAAATTCTACCTGTTCCATACATGAGATTTTAGTCTGGCTGTTAATCAGTCTCACCTTAGAGCTCTGAGAAGCTTTTTTAGTTGCAGAGGCCACATTCCTGACAGTGCCTATGTACTACCTGAATTTTGTGTTTCCACCTTCCAGGCTGTTGACCTCCTTCCTATAAACTGATTAACACAGATTTCATGGAGGGCAGGGAGATTTCCATCTTCCTAGAGAGACAGATGGAAATTTAAGGCTTCATTAATGCAATTGCCAAACTAGACATACAGGTTTCTCATCCACTATTTCTCAGGCTCCAGAGCTGCATATTCGTGGTTGTTCACTGTTTCTGTTAGGTGGTTCACATACAAATCTGCCTTTCAAGGTGTTCTATAATCAAAATGAATTTGCAAGAAGGCTGAATAAAACAAGTACCTCAAGTTCTAGGTCAACAGCTGGCCTGCTTCTCAACAGCGAGGTTTGCCTGAGACCTGTAAAGGGGTTTAGAAACCTGGAAGTGTAAACATTCTTTCCCTGTGACAAACAGTTACAGGAACAGCAATCAAGACCGAGTTGTAGCATCTCAATCACAGCACAACGTGAACCGAAAAGCAATATTTGCACAAGAGCTAATGGCTGACTCTATGCACTCTTAAAGTGTACTGCATATTCAACCTGCTTATTGACAACTGCTCCATAATTATTTTAAACATAATCTATGCAATTACATAACCTCACCAAAACTCAGACAACACCTAAAAACAACATCAGCTATCCCAAAAAGGAAGGGGATGGAAGAACAACTATTCTAAACATTCAATCTGAGGGTGATGAAAAAGGGAAAAATGTAGATATTAATCGAACTGCCCAACACTGCAATGCTTCCTTGGACATGAAAACCCAAATTCTATTCATCCAGAGATATTTTATTTAAGAAAATTAGTAGAACTGAGAATCTTTCCTCACTCCCCCAAAAAAACAGCATTATTACAATTGTTTGACTTCCATAAGTGGTTGATAGGAGGGGAAAAATAGAGCAATCTGACTGCAGTGCATTTAGCCATGAGCAGCTAGAGGAACTAATGAACAACATCATTATTTTACTGAAGGGGATGAAGTAGGTGCTTTAGATAAATGGCAGCAACTTAAAATGTGTTTCAGAAGATAAATTCACTTTCTCTCCATTTACCTGCTAGCGTGACAAATTAAGAAAGAAGAGTATAAAAACAGAGCAGGAGGGAAAGCAGTGCAAAAGCTAACTGAGGTGATGCAATGGGCCCTTATCCAAACAAGTGCATGAACAGAGATTGTTGGAAGTCCTCCTAGCCAAACACAAACCCAGAACATTGCACATGCCAGACTCCTCTGCAAATCCACAGTGGAGCATGTACAGGAGATCCACCTATGCTAAAATCACGTTCCTTACCAAGCACTGGGAGCTTGGCCATTTGGGAAGTGACACAATGTCTGTTCATTTCAAAGCACTGTAAATCCACCAGGTACTGAAGGGCTGAGTTCTGCTCGGCAGAGCAGCTCTTCACCCACTACCAGAAACATCAGCAAATCAACTCCTGCTGAAAGGAGATGAGGGGAGAGTGGCTTTTTAACAAAGAAGTTCATCCTCTATGTCCATGTGCTTCTTGTTGTAGTCACCTCGTCAATAGCAAATGAATACTTTTAAAAGCAAGGGCATTATATAGTATACGTACAGAGTAATATATTTGTATACTAGACTTTGTACACTACTTTGCAGTATACAAAGCCTTTTACATCTCAACACCAAACCAATCCAACTATTTTTGTATGGTCAAGAACCAACGTTTTTACTGCTCCTTTGTCCCTGTTAAACCCTGCTGCTTTTGTTAAACCGTGATTTTTGCTCAGTTTGGGTAAACTGCTGATGTACTTTTGAAAATGGGTATTTTCATGCAGTGTTCCCAATGCTCCTTAATGGCTGAGTACTTGAGATGTACTGACCTACAGGTGGATCTGATCCACCTGTGCTGAGACCCCAAATAGGAGCTCGGGGATCATCCTCTCCCCAAGCATCACCTGCCGAACCACAGCGGGCAGGAAGCATGAGGCCGGCTCGGACCAGCCGAACACCTGGAAAAGTCACCTGGACGCCGGGAAATGGG